TGGCGTCTCCGCTTGCCTGCTTCTCAGAGGCCATGTTGTGTGTCTGTAGCCGTGGCTATCCATCCGGGCGCCCGCTGTCACGCTCCGCTTTCCCCCTCACCTGAGCTGCACCTGTGGGTGCCTGCATGAGGCCTCACCCCGCGACCCTCGGCGTGGTGGACGGGGGGCACGACAAGGAGCAGGGCGGCAGTGTGAGCTGTCGGGGCACTGCGCAAGTTGTAAGGGCGTTGCACAAGTGACACTTTCCAGGATGAGCGCTGGGATGACAGGGCAAATTGCTCTCCCACAAGAGGGGCTGAGGGGTCCTCCAGGGTATGGAAAGTGGAGCCCTTACCTCCTATTAGCAGTCTCCTTCCTTTGCCAAGGGTGTTTGCTGGTCATCTCAAGGATGAGGGCGCATGGTTTTCTCCCTCCCTTGGTCAGTCTGTTCGTGTAGCAGTAGCAGATTTGGTGCCGCCAGTCCTTCTGGAAGTCTCTTGGTTTGAGCCTCAACCCCCTTGGCTTGGCTGCCTCTGACGGTACTTGTGGTCCTGTCAGACACTGCTGTGCTGGTGGCTTTCAGAAAGTACAGAGGGTCCAGTCACTGCTCAGCTGCTGGCTGGCTGCGTTGCGTAAAGCGTGTGCACCTGGGTGTCAGGGTACATCCTGAATATGCGTGTGCTCACTGCAGGTACGTTCCCTGTTTGGTCAGCAGAGGTGCCCATTACTGGCTATAGTGGTGAGAGGTCAGCAGAGGTGCCTGTTACTGGGTGTACAGGTGCTGGAAGTATGGTGTGGGAGCGGGGGTTCATGCGTGTGTAAGGGGGACGGTGCAAGCACAGGAACGTGGGGCAGCTGGCGTGGCCGAGGAGGATGCTGTTATGGCTCATTACTAGGCAGCACTGCAGGTCTTTTCCAGTCGGCAGTCTGGGCTCATTCAGAGTCCAAGAAGATGCGTCTGCTGGGGAGACCCCGATTGTGGTGAAGAGGGAAGTAAGTGAGCTTAAATCTTCTTTTGAGCCTTTCTGAAGTGCATCTCCTGTGGTGCAAAAATCCTGCACAGCCAACGTGTGCCAGTACGCAGGAGAAGCGCTGTGTTTCAGACCTCTGCAGCAGTCTCTGGTGACCGAGCAGGATTTGATTGTGTAGTCCCAGTCGAATACAGCTGCCCTGAACGAAAACACCATGTGGTGTCCAATAAAGCGGGTTAGCCCTGCCTACCCTCCCAGCCAGACGCGTGGCTGGGTCTCCTGCATGGTGGTGGGTAGCGGGGGGAAGGGGGAGCGTTGCCCCACTTCTGCCTCCACCCTGGCTGCTGGATTTTTGGCTCTGAGGATACTGCACTTGCCCGCTATTCTTCCCTGGATAAATGTGGGAGGCAGTGATGCTGGGGGGGGAGGTGGGGGTTGTGAATAATAGTGATGGTAGGAGGGGTTTGTTCCAGTCTGGACTGGTCCAGTCTAGTTCTTTCCTTCCTGTCACCGTGTGAACAATGCTGCTGCCGCCGTGGCTGATGCTTGCGACACAGCAGCCCCCTCCCCGTGTGCTTCAGGCTGTGGTGAGCTCCCTTCCCCGCCTGCTCTGCCTGCCCCAGGCCGAGCCCCCCGCAGCCAGCCAGCCTGCTGCTCCCCCCATCCCTCTGCCTGGCCTGGAGCTCTGGGGGAAGGTTGTTAAACCCCAGAAAAAGAGGGGTCTTTACAAGAGTTCAGGAGGGGTGGGTGGTGGTTGGTGGTGAACAGCAATGGGAATGTTTCTGCTGTGGGGACAGTTTTACTGGAGGCGAGCTTACCACCTTTCAGCGCTGCAGCCAGCCCCCAGGCAAGCAGCTTGTGCCTCTCCCACTCCCTGTGCTGGAAGTCTGGTACAGGTGTGTGTTTGCAGCAAAGCTGGGCTATGCGGTCTGGAAATTACTCCATCTCTCCAATTAAAGGAGAGACAGAGTGCTCTGGAATGGAGTTAAGACGGTCCCTTCCTGAAAGGCAGGCTTAATTCTGTAAGGGACTAATTTGGGTATAATGGCAAATTTCAGTTCACAATGCTGTGGATACAGCGCAGGAGCAAGAGTGTGATCAACGGGAGAATTCCTCGGGGACCTGCGCTCCCTTCAGGACCTGTTCTCCCCCGGGGACCGCCTCGCCACAACGCCCTGGCCCTGATCTGGAAAAAGCCTATTGTAACAGAAGAATAGCTGGGGTTTTTGTGGACCAGAGTAACTTTGGTGCCTCCAAGTCTGTCAGTTGGTGTAAATATGCGAGGTCATCACATTGCTGGATTTTTAGGGTTTGGTTTGCAGATATTTTAGCTCAGGTCACTGAAGGGTCTCTTCTCAGAAACAGAGATGCAGTGGATCATTTTTTTTCAAGGAAAATTAGTTGGTGCCTGGTTTTGTAGGGTTGGTCTGTATCAGACACGGGGAACTGAGGGGGCCAGTGAGCTGGAAAGGGCCTGGCCCCAACTGGCCTGCCAGTGCTCACAGGGCTGGCTGCGGGGATACAGTTGTTCTGGCAGAATTATGCGCTGTGGACGACTGGGGGGTTATTTTGTTCCTCAGATGAGTGTTACTCTTTGGGTATGAAGTACAGCATTGCTGACTGAACCGCAGTCGAACTTGAGGCACCTGCTAGTAGAGTATGCTAACAGAAGATAGATAAATACATGCATATGGGTGTCACTTGAGTATTAAAAGGCAAAGCTGCCTTGTTGATTATTCCTGCAGCTCAAAGCTCTCTGTTCAGCAAAGACCCTTAAACAATAAACGCTTCATTGTGGCTGATCACATGTGCAATTTTTATAAAACTGGGTTTGTCCATATGGGTTATGGACATCTAATACACTTCTGCTTCTTAAAATGGTAGTCCTACTCTGCCACAGTACAGCAAACTAACTCTCTGTGCTCGTTAAAGCAGAGTAAAATTGCTATGACTTGAAAGGCTGAAATTGTACTGTTTTCTTCTCTGGGTATTTAATATCAGCAAACCTGCGCTTCGAAGAGGGCAGTCAGCCCATTTTCTGTACATTTGTGTAGATCCTTCAGATAAATAATTCTCATTTAAAAGAAATTCTGAAGGGCAATTAGAACTCAGCGCAGCTCCCGGTTGACTGTTGCTACAGAAAATGATAGGTTTTCATTCCAGCTCCATGGGAACTTTTGCTGCATGCTTCCTTCTTGGGTCATGTGAGAATACTTATTGGGATAGTACTGCAGGTGATACTTGTCTGAAGCATGGCTTTTTAAGTTTTGCACTAAAGGTCATGCACTCTCCCTCTAGAAGCACCTGTTTTTAATTATTTGTTTTGCTGGGAAGGTAAACTTAATTCATAATCACTGGAAAATTTGTATGAGTTCTTGAGTATAATCAGAACAGCACTAGAAAATACTGGAGCTACTAGTTAATTTTACAAAAGGGAAGTGTTGCCAGCTTTTAGAACTGTTGTATGCATAGTCTGAGAACTAAATGTTACTGACTTTTTGCTTCAGTGGAAGAAAGGGATAAGATTAAATACACTGCATATACATTAATTCTGGCTGGCAAAATTCCTTAATATCTCAATAATTTTGACTGGTTCATTTTTAGTATTATATGCAACTGAATGCTAATTTACACGGTAAAGCTGGAGAGATTGCTCTGTGGAGTTGCTGAGAAACAGTTATTCTCAAGTTGCATTCACTCAGTAATTTAGTACTTTATAGAGTATACTAGTTTAGTTTTCCAATAGCAAGTATAAGTGGAAAAATACACTTCAGCAGTTTGCTTAACTGTAATGCAGTTGAAAAAGATGATCATTTGGGTTAGGTGATTCCCAGAAGCCAGGTTTTTGTAGTCAGCACATGTAGTCTCATTTAAATAATGAGAGCAGCAAAGATTTATTTTTACAGTAGGTTGGTACATTCCCTGTTTCGTGCCACAGACCACAGCGAATTTGTAGAAACTTTGTAGCATGTTGGGTTTACACCTGACCAGTTCTGTAGTATATTTAATTTCATGAAAATGACAGTTCCTTTGAGAAGGAATAACTTCTCAGCAGGGCTGGTTAATGTTTCCTTTGCTGCTTTTTATGTTCCTTGTGTGTGATTGTTTTACCTTAATTTGAGTAACCTAGCCTTGTACTTTAAAATGCAGCTTTGGTGTTATGTGCAATAGCCTTTAAGGGCCTACTGAAATGTTTCCTTCATTCCTGAAGGCAAGCATAAGTTTCTTTCTTTTTACTGTCTTGCTCGTCTCTGGATTTGGCTGTATGGTGTTCAGTTGCACTATATAAAGCACTATTTTTCACCCACATGCTTGTTTGTTCACAGCGGAGGAAGAAAGATCATGGCAAAGGAATTCTAAAGTAGAAAGGAAGCGGGGAGGGGAAGAATTGCAGTGGTTTACAGGGTTAAAAACACTTCTTGGAAGGGTAGTCCAGTATTAAGGCGTACTACCCTAAAGTAGGATCATGTAGAGCTCTTTGCCTTCAGTTCTGAAAATCTTCCAGTTCAGACTATGAAAGATAAGTACAAACACATCATTTCATGTGCCTAATTGTTGTGTTTTAGCAGTTCTTCATACGTCTGACTTGATCTGGCTCAGAGTATACATTCACTCTTGAAAACTGGGTATTTTACATGATTATAAACTTTCATGGTGGGGTCTTGCAAGCCTCCTTAAAAGCAGTACTGAAAAAGCATATATTATATGCTTTGAGATAAAGCTTTTATTTTGTTCTGGCTGTGAAATTTACTTTTGCATGCATTTTCTTCCACAGGGCAAAATCTCTGATCAAGTTTACAACTATCCAGAGGGCTTAGGAGAAGTGCTTTATAGAGAACAGTTCGACTTCAACGCTGAGCCACCTTGGGAACCTAGCTGATGATAGTAGGGTTCCATCTCCTAACTTGTCCATGTAAGTCTGCTTTCCTTCTTTCTTCACTTGTATGCAGGAGGATAAGCACTTCCAAAAATACGAACAGCATGTATTGTTTTTTTGGTAAGCAAGATAACTGTCTTGGTGTAGATTATCAAAATTTGAAAATAGCAGTGTGCATATTGTATGGGGCTTTCATTCAAGGGAGGACTGTAATTTTTACTCACCTAATACGTTTTTCGACAGAGTTATCTGATGGATTTCTGAGACACTTAAACATGTGCAAGTAAACTTTGTAAATAGAGTTACTTTTCTGAATTAGGGCTGTTAGCTGCAGAAATCCTAAAGGAAAATACTGTAACTTCAGTCTCTCGGTGGTAATTCTGAAGTCACAAATCAGCACTGTGTGACTGTTCAAATTATGTGTGAAGTCTTATGGTATTTTATACTGAAATAGTTAAAATTTGCTGTTGTAAATGGTAACTAATGCCAATCATGAAGGGTGTGCCTTCCCAAATGCCTGTCTCCATTATTTGCTAATTACTATCCACTTCCACAAATAGTTGTAGTTGAGCTACAGTAGATTGTGGAATTCTGTGTTGGATGGAAATTGTGCACCAATTATAAATGCCTTTACATTTTAAGAGGCAAATAATTACTAAAGAAAAACAAACCCCATGATAAACTGAAAACAAATGAATGTGCGTAGCTGATCTTAAGGAGCACAGAAAACTCTGGAATGTGTGGCTATCCTGATCTGTTGATATGTAACAATAGCTTTATGTGGTTTTAACAATAGCCTTAAATGCACTTGTAATATCTGAGTTAAGCTGATTTTATACAGTATTACTTTTTTCCTGTCTAGCTGAAGGCATTTTCATTTGGCTCAGTACCTATAAACTATAGAATGCTTTTTAATGTAAAACTTGAGAATAAGAGGTTAAGTGTGTCTGAGCCAGGTTTAAAGACCACAAAGAGTCCGAATGCCAGTTGTGTTAGTATGTATCCTAATAAGGTACGTAATGGGGATGACCCTGTTCTTTGAAAAGACTGCATCAAGGGAGGCACAGGGTGAACTGTGTTCTTCTTGTTTTGTTTGAAACTTACTGAATTAACTGCATATATCTGGTTCTATGCAGATGACTGCTCTATTCTCTGACATAACATTTTGTACTTCAACGGGAATAAAGTACAGCAGTAAAAAGATGAGAAAGGTAGAAGAACTGTTAAGAGGAAGGAGTGAATAAAGGTGCTATAAATGCATTTTAGTTTCTGAAACTGTTCTGAAGGAGTTCTGGCTTTGTCTGAAGTTTTTCTCTTTGAGGAGAAGGCTGATCTGGTACTTTCATTGAAATTACTCTTTTTCTAACTGGTAGACTGATGTGCTCTGGCAAGGTATAGTGCAAGGTATAATTTGTCCTAGAGTGGAAATGCCACTGGGTTAGCTGTATTTGTAGCTGAATGTTCAGATGATCTGTGTGTTTGAGTTTGGATCTATTATGTCTTCGGTAATAATATACTGTACATGAATGTAAGTAGTTCAGTGTTGAATGTAGTGGTGATGTAGGTAGCAGTAGTCGGCAAGTTTTTGCCAGTAAATCTGTAGCTGTTTTGGTGTGCTGAAGCACAGGTAATTGCCTCAGACACAGCTAAGATATAAGTTAGCTAGCTAATTCGTAGTTTGAGTCCTGTTCAAGTTCCAAAGTGATTTAATGGGAAAAAGGTCAATTGGTCTTCTAAACACAGTAATGAATATTATGTACCAATAGAACTCAAATCTTCTGTCTGAAGGTATACTTACATTTCCATTATGCTTGCTTCCTTATTAGAATTCTCTCCCTCCCACTTTTTTTCTTGTGTTACATTGGCCAAGGAAGAACTTGGGATGATTTAGTTCTGTCTTGCTCTTCAAGCTCTGCCTTCCTGAGCAGTCTGGCAACTGTGGTCTGAAGTCTTGCTCCTTTGAAAATCTGTTCTATTTATTGCCATATCTGGCTGATTGGAAATGGAGGGAATTAGCAATGGAAATCTGATTGTTAACAAGCCCTGTCTATGCCAAGTGGAAGCAGTAGTTATCTGGACTGGCTAGCCTTCAGGTCTCTTGACTTTGTCTAAGTAGGTGGCAATCAGAGAACAGGAGCGCTGGGAGTTTGGAGGGCGGGGGGGGAACAGGGAGACCAAATACTAATATTGACTAAGCATGTAAGAGGATAGGATAGGGAAGTAACTGCTTGCACTGTCATGAAAGAGAAGTGCTGGTATGGTACCACAGAAGCATACATGCACTTACAAGAGTACTCTCTTTTTTGTAAGCTTTGCTAAGCTTATTGGCTTTGAATAATTTATTCAAACTCTGAGAAAACAGAAGGAGGTTCTTGAAAGCTTGCTTCTTGTAGAAGATGTCAGATGGGGCATTATTCCTTAGTATCAGTTGTCTTTGATTGCTTACTTCAGCAGAGATGCTCTTGTTACGTTGCTCACTTAACTGTGGAATACTCTGGAGACAATGGCAGGGTGCAACTCACCTAAGCTGTACAGGGACTCTACTATGACCCTCAGCAGATTTGTACTGAGAGGCAACTGAGGTAAAGCACAATGTCCACTGCCATTGTAAATAAAGACACCTGCTTCAACATTTCTGTCATGTGGTTAGTGGCTGCATTCAGCAAACTCAGTGATAAGGACACAAGTTGGTGAAATGGCATCTTGGAATATTTTTTAAAAGATACTGCTATTATAAAATAGGCATTTCCTGCACTGAAAACAAGGGACTCGTGTTTCTACTCTTCTAGTATACCTGTTCTGTACTTAATTGCCAATGTTAGTGACAAAATGCTTCTACTTTTTTGATCTGTTACCTCTGAAGAACCAGTATTGTATGGAATAGGAGATTAATGTATTTTATCTCTTCATGATTTTTACATCAGCATAAGTGTTAAATCTTGTAAATAGTTATTTTGCTTAAGACATGTAGTTGAAAGGCATTATTGGGAGCACGTTTGGTTTGCAGAGACTTTGTTCTTTGCAGAGGAAGTTTTTAATCAAAGACCCAAACCTCAAGGGGGTTTTTGTAGGCCAAACAATATGTAGTTCTGAAAATGTAAAGAAAAAAACCTGAAAATGTGTTTGTTATGGATGCTTGCATATGACAAGCATGTGTTTAGTAATTTTTTCAGAGCATTTTAATTTTCTTCTATTCCAGATGTCTATGTTAATTGTAGTGTTTAAATATGTAAACTTTTATCTTAAAGTTTTTCATCTGGGAAGTCATTGTGTTAAACCCTAAAGAGCCTGAGGATGTAACGCTTACTTCAAAGAAAGCAATTGCATGCCTCTGTAGAAGTCTGGTACCACCTGACAGCTTTTGTTTGCCCTAAAATATATGTCCTGGAGCATTGTGCAGACTGACGTTTCAGGTGGTAAAATGGGTGGTGTTGCCATACTAAGTCTGTCAAATCATGACCTGCAGCAAGTCAGCACTTCTAGCAAGGACTGAACTCTGTACTGTAATGATCTTGTCTTACAGACATAGAAGATGTCTTAAACCATTCTCTCTATTTCCTTCTGCCTGTATTAATTTGATCTTTCACGAATTTTATCACTGATTCTCCTCTCCCCCGCCCCTCCCTCAGGACGGGGCCAGTCAGAACAAAGTAAAGTTACAGCACAATCCTAAATCCTACTGCAGGTATTAAACCCTTAAAGAAACATTTCTGAAGTGTACACTGTTGTGTGGGGTTGCTGTAGCAGTGCTGGTAGGAATTTCAGTTTTCTTTGTGGAATATTCTTCCTATCTTGTTCTCACAAGACTGCAAAGATGCAATTTCTTCCAGAGCAGGAGAAATTGGAGAGGAATGGGCTGTAACTGAGGACAGAAGTTGGTAGGCTGATGTGAGCTTTTTTCACTAGATGAATTTTGCAAAATGAAAAACCTTAGATGTCAGGGACATGCTTATGAAAAGCAATTGCTGTTTAGCAGCATGGGAGAGGTTTTACTAGGTGGTTTATGGCTATTTTATTAAGTCTGTACTAGCATGGATTCCTTTTCATGCCTGCCTATTGGGCATAAGATGCCTTTGGATGAATGAACTACAAGAGATAATGTCTGTTTTAGGAAATGACCTTCATCGAAGCTAACTTACCAGATAAGTGTTCTTCTGTTGTTCTTGTTTTGGGGGAGTCAGTGGTAAAGAGACCTTCTCCCCTCCATGCTTTACTTAAACCAGGTCTCACCCTCCTCACCACTGGATCTCCCCAGAAGTGAAAGGGTAGCTTTTGCAGGAAAGTATTCTTCTACACCATCTCTGTCTGGAAGCTATAGACACAGCAGTGACTAACTATGAAAAAACCCTTTCTTTTAAGAGTTCTACAAAATTAGCTTAAATCTACTCCAGTGTAATTCAGATGGACACCAAGACTTGAAGGAAAAAAGCTGGTCATTGTTTAGATCCAGCTTCTTCATTTGAAATACGAGGCACAAGCAATTAGCTTGCAGGGTGCATGCGTGTCTGAGTCAAAATCCGTCCAGTGCTGTGGCTGGTTCCACTGGGTGTACTGAAACTTCCCAGCAGGGCAGATCGGGGGTGTGCATTTGTTCAGTGGAAGTGTAGGAAGGAAGTGACTTGTAGTACAAAAAAAACCCCCAAAACCACCAAAACTTTAAAATCTAGCTAAGTTTGTACCCTTGTTATATACAGTAAATTCTTAAAATGCTTTACCTGTATGGAGTTACTGTGTCAAAATGTTGCCACTGAGTTTTGTTGAACTTTTACTGAAGTCATAGGACAGATTAGATATGTCCTAGAAGATGTTACAGATTTAGATGCAGCAACAACACATTGAAATTTGAAAATCCTCCTTTAACACCTTTTGTGTCACAAAAGGATTAAAAAAACTTGAGTTTTTTGAATGGTTAACAGGTTGCTACACTTGAATAATCTGCTGAAAATGTAAATGTTACTGTAAAAGTCGGTGAAGAACACCCTTTAAGACTTGTTTGAAGTTTTAGAAGGCGGGCATTCTTTATCATGGTGGTGGATGCACGGGCGATCACTTCTCCAAACATGCGTGCCATGCAACTGAAATCATACAACATATATAGAATGAAGATATGCATATTCATCATATTTCCTGGAAAAGGTTGTCTTATGGCAATGAGGTCCTGAAATGTATTTACATATTCCCTTCCCAATCACGCATGCTCAGTGATTTGAGTCGGTGGTATTTGGGGGTCCCCAGTGGTCATTGGGGAGCGGTCTCTCAGTGGTTGTTTTCCATGACCTCTGGGCCTTTCTTCCATGTATGTTCATAAGTTGACTCGTCAAGTGGCAAGGCCTGGTCCTTCTGCGCTTATCTTGGGGGGTCGACATTTTATCTTGGTGTCTGCTGGCTTCTTCAGAGTGACTTGAACTTATGCAGGATCCATTAATCTTGTTACAAAGAGATGTTGTTTTGAAAGTTCCTGGATGGATTGGCACTTCCTACATTTTACAGCTATCAGCTACAAGCCACAGGCTGGGCTTTTTTAAAAAAAAAAAAAAAACAGTGTAAATCTTACATTCTGTATCAGAAATCACTTTGCTCTTGCATGTATTCACCACGGTAGGTTTACTTACTCCTCTTTCTTGCAAGAAGACAACAAAAGAGTTGTTACTGTAGAAGAAAAGTTTAATATGTTTATTAAACAACCAGTGAGTTCCTGAGGATGCATAAAGTACTTTAAAACTTAAACATCAGGCTGTTTAAGTCATAATATAAATTATGCTAAAAGAATTAAACTCTGCTGTTAGCTTTTTTCTTTTGATCTTCATGTTTTGAATAATCCAGAACTATATCAAATTTTCAGTAAAATGCTGATGCCAGCTTGTCTTTCTGGGGAGGGGGTGAAAAAAATGAAAACAACCCCTTTTTGGTATTCTGCTACCGGAAATCATGGATATTTTATGGAGGTGAACATGTCAAGGCCTTCGTGCTAATCAGCTAGCAAATCAAGGATACTGATGAATTATCTGTTCAGAGGGTGACAGTAGCTACGTAAACATGACTGTGGTGTTCATGTTTGTTTTACTGATTCTAAGTCAAACTTAGTTCACAAGCTTCTCCTTTTCTCTTTTTTTGGTGTTTTTTTAAGGAGTTTTAGTGTTACAAACTTGAACAGAGGTGTGACTGTGGAGGGCCACAAAAATGGTGCAAGGGCTGGAGCACCTCTCCTATGAGGACAGGCTGGGAGAGTTGGGCTTGTTCAGCCTGGAGAAGAGAAGGCTGCGGGGAGACCTGACTGCGGCCTTTCAGTACCTAAAGGGGGCCTATGGGAAAGATGGGGAAAATCTTTTTAGCAAGGCCAGCTGTGACAGGACAAGGGGTAATGGTTTTAAACTAAACCAGGGTAGGTTTAGACTAGATAGAAGGAAGAAATTCTTTACAATGAGGGTGGTGAAACACTGGAACGGGTTGCCCAGAGAGGTAGTGGGGGCCCCATCCCTGGAAGCATTCAAGGCCAGGTTGGATGGGGCTCTGAGCAACCTGATTGAGTTAGCGGTGTCCCTGCTCCTGCAGAGGGGTTGGGCTAGATGACCTCTAGGGGTCCCTTCCAACCCAAAACATTCTATGATTCTATGACTGACTGAAGACATTTTTCCTGGTTATTATAGTGTCTACTACCTAGTCATTGTTTTTATAATTGTAATTTACTTAAATCCTTACATCAATGTGATAATTATCTTGCTCTTTTATAATTGTTTTGGATCTTCAGGTTTCCCTTAAATAAGCATATGACTCACTGTACATGTGAGACAAGTATGTTCTTACCTAGCATGCTTGTCTTTCATCATTCAGCTTCTGAATGTAACTGAAAATTCTTGCTGCCACTGAGTTAAATTCACCTGGCAGTAAATATTTCTCTTAAACATAGGTGGCATACTTGAGTTAAGCAGAAAGCATACACAATGCTGCTGGCTCTTTTCCCCGTTACTGGGTGTAATGACAAGCAGGAGCAACTTCCACTTAGTTGTCTTAGTGTTAGCTTGAGGAAAAGTAACTTTGTTCATAGTAACAATGTTCACCAAACTTTTGTTGCAAATTGTGGATTTTTTTTTTTTACTGTAGGGAGGTAGTGGAAGAAACATGAGACAGCGTTATTACCATGGCATTGTGACTATTTGAAGCCAAAATTATCGTCTTGGTTTTTAGTCTCAGTGAGGCTTTTTTACCTTCAGCTGTTATGTTTCTGGTTTCTATCAACACTTCTAATTAGAAGAATAATTCTGTTAATTTAAAGCCAAGTATAGGTAGCTTTAGAAAACAACCATAATTTTTTAATAAATTCTATGCAACTTCTGTTGAGAGATTAAAAAAAGTCTTGGGTGTTCAAGTCAGGAAGGAATCTAGTTAGCTGGCTGGTTTTGATCAGTCTCGTGTTAGTCATCAAGATGGCATTGGAAACAAAAATCTGGTCAATCAGTTTCTATAAACTAATAAACTGCTTTTAAACAAGACCCACAACTCTATTGGAATGTAAACTGCAGTTTGCTGTATTCATCAAGTAAGGCTGATGAAGGTATATAATCAGCTTGGTAGTCTCCTGCTGTCTACTGATTTTTACTTGAGATTGACTATTTAGTACATATTCTAAACCAGTGTTTTCTGTCTTGGGACCTTGTTGATTCAGGTTGTCTTTTGGAAGAAACTGCTTATAAACAGCATCTAATTTGCAGTGAAGGTTTGAGGTTAAACAAGATGCAAATAAACCTAGGCTGTAACTGTTACTTTCTTTTAATACCAGTTCCACTTACTTAGAGTGCCATTTTTAAAACTACTTCTACCTAGTAGCTTCTTTCTGTTAACCTCTGAAGTGAAGAGTTTTAAGTATTGTTGTTCTGTTCGTAAGATTACCTACAAAATAAATGCCTAATAAATACAATAGTTATAAGTTAGCATGAATCAATGAATGTCAATGTTAACATTTAATCAATAAACTGAGTTTTCTTTAACAAATTCAGAAATGTTGCATTGCAGACTGTCTTGCAGTTGCATGCTTGAATACTAATGTCACTTAAGATGCTATACTTAAGAATTGCTGAGCTGGGCAGTTTGTACAAGTATGCTACACTCGCAGTATTTTCATAGTTTGCATAAGCTCAACACAGATCAGTGTGGTACAGCCTGGGACGCTTCTCAAGATCAGCCTTACATCAGTGGTTTCTTACTCTTGTTTAAGTTAGTATCAGATTTAAAGGACACAGCTTCTACTTTATTCTTGGTTTGAGTCAAATTGCGCTATCCTTTATCCCTGACAAATGGAGGGTGGACAGAGTAAAAAAAAAACCTTGATTTTTGTCAAGTGTGTGCTACTCTTTGTAGTACATCAGATGTAGAGAGCTCTTTCTAATTTTTAAATAGTGGCATAGTATGCTTTGTGCCTCTTTTCCCATTGATTTATGTTTTCTTTCTACAGTTTGTTGCATAATTTAAGGACCCGGATATAAGGCTTGGAAGCCCATCCCTTGTGTTTCTTGGTTTATGACTGTCGGCTTTGTGGAATACGGCTGAGATGAAAGGATTTCTTGAGGATGCAAATTACTCCATTGGCCTGTTGGATGAAGGAGCAACTCTTGCAGATGTTATTGACAACTGTATTTATGAACACACTCATGTAAGTTTTATAAGTTTTCCAAATCTTCTGGTTTAGTTCTCTGTCTTCAGACTAAGTCAAGTTATTTAGCACTGATGAGCTGATGGCAACAGAGGAACAGTCGGTTAAAACTCGTCTTATAAAGTAGTTTTATAATTCTACTTCTTTGCTGTTTGCTTGCCTCAGGCTGAGTTCTGTTGGGGAAATAGGGGCAACAATTGTTACCTCCCTGAGTGTGGCTAGCAAGAAAGTAGTTTTGCTGATGTAAGTAAATGCAGCTTCCCATCTCATTGTTTAAAAAGATTTTTTTTATCAATAGGGTTTATATCAGGAACCTGCAATGGGCAAGTAGCTATTGCTGAGTCAGAAATGGGCCGCGCGTTCCCTAAAAATGTGCCAAAGCTTAGACAAGTATGTATGCTGAGCCAGTTCAAAACCATGTTTAAAATTTCTGTGGTTGATCACGGTTGTATGGCTATACATCTTCCTGTTACCCTTCTCTCCATTGGAAACATGGGTGCGAGCATATTGTGAGGTGCTACCTTTTTTTCTTTCAAGAAAATAAACCAGTTTAAAAGCTATTAAGGTTTAGCACTCTACTGGAAAGAACTTTAAATAATTCTGTATATACAATAATAGTGTTATTGAATAAGGCTTCACTCACTACTTAGGAGGCAGGAAGATGTAGCTTTTGTTTTATAGACAAGACTGTAGAAAGAAAGAGCTTTAAAAAAAAAAAAAGACGTTTGATTAAGCAAAGACTGTATCCTTAATATGCCATACCTAGGAGTTGTTCACTTTTCCCTTGGTTTAGCAGAACTGATGTTCAAATGCAAGTGCTCAACTATAGTACAGCAAATAGCTAAATCCCATGGCCTTCTGAGCTCAGGTGTAGGATTCCCAAATCCTGATTCCTAATATTCTTTTTCTGTCTAGCAAATAAATAGGTAAACTACTGGCAACATGTCATGTCTCCAACCACTGGCTGGCTCACAGAGGATAGCTGCCTCCTGCTGCTTTCATTTACTCCTTTAGCTCAAGGGGTAGAGGCCTGTGCCATGGATCTAAAGCTCCAGATCCCACGTACAGGGGGTCAGTATGCTTCCACCCGATGGAATTTCTATTTGTGTTTTTTAAACAGAAATAAAGACATTGTATACAATAAGCCACAACATAGTTTCATATCTGCAAAAGTCAAGTGCTAGAATTAACATTTGATATACAGTCTTAGATGGATCATATATTTTGCGATGGTCTTTAACTGATACACAGAAGGCCATTCATTTACAGGAATTTTACTGAGTACACATTATAAACAAATATAGAATGATCTGTTTGGATTTCTATCCACTACATCCACATCATGACTTGGTGTCAAGAGCCTATGGTAACAGATGCACAAGGGGTATTGTTAACAGTTTCCAGAAAAATGCCTGTGCATTTTCTTGAAGATTATGTACTTGACTCTGCAACCTTAACGCACTGAGTTTAGTTCTTACAATTCTGTTTGAACTTTGTGCTTCACAAGATGTGGAGAACAGTCTCAAACCTGACTTCCTGATTTAAAATACTATCAAACAAATGTTCAGTAAAATGAGCTGTTAGCTAGATCTTAAAATAATGGTAGTGCATTAAATTTTATTCCTTGTTTAATAAGCTATGTTGAGACTGTGGAAGCTTTTGTCCCATTTTCTTCCTCCAAAAAGTTGCAGACTTTTTTGAAAATACAAAGTTGAAAGATATTTGTAACATATTTTGTATTTCTAGATAAAATCAGCATTTGGCATTTAAGTAGTATCTCTTGTTCAGGAATCTCACAATATTGTCTAAATAGCATTTGTAGTAGCTCTTAGAGATAAGTGGTAGGTATTCCCTTTGATTTTTTTTAACTAGTTCAAATTACTAGTTGAAAGTAAAAACAAGAGGATTGTTCAAGGTCAAACATAAAAGTTAATAGCAGGATGAAAAAAATGTACATAATTCTTTAAGACTTTGTTTCATGGGTTATTTATGTTTTAACAGCAAACCCACAATTTCAGACATTTTATTTTCCTGGTTTTCCTTTTTTAGACTGGAAAAAGAGCATTTTATGTTGGTGATCTTGGAAAGCTTGTAAAGAAGAACATACAATGGCAGAACGTGATGGCACCAATAAAACCATTTTATCCTGTAAGATGCAATTCTACTCCAGGTGTACTCGAAATTTTGGGAAGCCTTGGTGTTGGATTTGCATGTTCCAGTAAAGTAAGTTTGTTTGGGTTTTTTTTCTGTGTATCTGTGTGCCTTATTTTCTTCATCTGTCTGCTGTTTTAAAATCAGCGTTTTGATATTGAGTGCCATGGTTATAATTGAACTCCTGTGTAACTGGCTGTTGCAAATCTATACTTCCACCCTAGCAGCAGTGGATAGTTTTCTTTAGTGTATTTGACTCTTCAGTCGAGTATTAGAACACATCTAATAAAAATTGACTAAAGGTAGTGCACTAGACTGTGTCAAACTCTGGTATGCTCCTGTTTTCCAGTCTGAAATGGCATTGGTACAAGACCTGGGCATTTCTCCTGAAAACATTATATATACAAATCCTTGCAAGCAAGCTTCTCAGATAAAGTATGCGGCGAAAGCTGGGATAAACATCATGACTTGTGACAATGATACTGAGCTGAAGAAGATTGCACGTAACCATCCAAATGCTAAGTAAGTGTCAAAATTCTGGTTTTGCTTTTTATGTGGTGGAAATCTAATTTTGCCTGTGTTCTGGGCTGTTTGAGTTGCAAGCAAGGTACATGGCTTCTTTAATACAATTCACTTGTATCTATTTATCTCTTCTCTGATGTCTCTTTTGAAGGTATCTTTTGCCATTTTTCCCCTACTAGGTCTCAGCTTCCTAATATAATAGCAAGGCCTGTGTTTTGGGAGAAATCTTGCATTTTGATTTCATAGGGAAATCTTCATGTAAAGGTTTAGGTGATTGAACTTCAGAAGTCTCACCTCATCATCTGCAAGTACATCTTCCTCCTGCTCTGTGGCTTCAGTGTTTCTTTCAGGGTGTTCTGTTTGGAGTATTCGTGGCTTCAGCTGAAGTCAGGGCTGAGAGACTATCGGCAAATGAGCATGTGCATCAGATCCAATCTAGGGTTTGGGCATGTTCTGCAGGTCTGTTAAATATGCCTAAAGGTATTTCCCTACTATGAAAACAGGGAGAAGTTTGACTCCAGTTCTATTTTCAGTCACTTTGGTATTGGCCCAGATGCTTTCTGTAGAGAACTGATCAAAGCTGGTGTTCTGGTTGTTAAATAAGACACCTTTTTTGCTGCCAATGTATTGTGGTCCCTTTTGGACTGATAGGCGCTCATGTCATTAAGTGTCACATCCCTCACACAGGAGTACTCCGGCTGTGGGTCATTAAGAAATTTGGAGTCAGAGCCTTAGTGAATGTTACAGTGCTTTCCAGTGATCAGTGAGGTATAGCTTCCCACAAATGTCATCAGAGTGCACTAAGAAACTGAATTCCTGACATCTTTACAAAGCCCTTGGTTCTAGATAGTCCTTATTAAAGTGTCATGTGGCCATAGCTGTAGAATTGAGAAGATTCTACTGAGTTCAGTATCTGGAGACTCTGCTCACTCCACCTGGTTATTTTTTTTTTTTCAAGACTACCTTGAGAGTTAATATTGCTGTTGCTAGTGATTACACTTCATCCTCATAGAAGCCTGTCAGTGCTTTGCATGCTGGAGAGTATGTCTGTGCAAAGAATGTTATCTACGACAAAAAATTTTGTGTGTAAGATCTTGGCCTTGACCTACTCCATGCATTTGAAAGCCTTAGCAATGCTAAAGCTGTTCCTTATGTCACTAGTGTTTTACCAGTTATCACTGGTGGTTTTAGTGGTTTGTTAGTTTTTTATGTTTATTTATTTCCTTGAGTCTAGCAGCCTCTTTTAGAAGATGTTGTCTATTGTAACATCCGCAGCAAGAGAAGTTAGGATGGAGATTTTCCTCGAGCCAGAGAAATTATAAAGTGGGGAGACAGACTGAATGAGTTTCGTGAGCTAGAGAAAAACAACATAAACTCTTCACTAATTTTCAAGGATCTCATAGTCTAATACTTGAAAAAGTTCCTGTTTACCTAAGGACAAGAAACTAAATTCCTACAAAAGAACTGCAATTTGCCGTCTAACCTTTCTAGAAACAGATCTCCAGCTCTCCTACTGGGTAGAGATCTGTTTGGTTTATTCTAATTCTCTTCCTCAGATCATTAAAACTTTGGTGCTGAAGTGACAGCTGTGAGTTTTCTTCTTTCTCTGCCTTGGCATAGTTTCAAAAAGTCAAAGCCTTTATAAAGCCTTGTTCTTCCTATGCGTGGTTGTTACAGCCAGGCTGTCTTTTTGTAGGTGAAGCAATTACGCTTTGGTTGAGGAACTCCTGCCCAGAAAGCTGTAATTCTCTTCCTCCTTTTCTGCAAATTCTTGTAACTTTCTGCACTAAACTCAGTACTGGGTAGGTCTCTCTTTATAATTGATGCTTCTGCCTTTGGAAGTCTTAGTAACTTGAATGACTGCAAATTTTTTTTAAGAGGAGAAATGTCAGAAAGGAGTGCTTAGTCTTTTCGTTTCTTTATACCTTTGGATTTTTCCAGGCAAAGTGTAACTGCTAAGGTTGCTGGGCGCCCTAAGAACTCCAGTAGAGGTGTGGTTGTTACAAGTATCAATGCTTCCTTAAATAAAAACCCAGACTCCCAAACACACACATCATCCTCTAGCCCTACTCTGTGTGAAACCCAGGAAGAAGAGTCCTGCTAGATTTCTAGAAATCAGAATTACACTTTTTCAGTGGCTTGCACTAGAAAAATACCTTGACTCACAATGCTGCCATAACAACTCATCAATACAATTTAACATGGAATGTCTTTAAGAAATGGTTTTGTCTAATCTTAATGTGAGGTTACAAACTGTAGTATTATGGATTAGAAATTTTTTTCATCTTGGAGTTTAACTTTTGACAGTTTTTTATTA